AAAGCGAAGAGATCGTCAGCAGTTTGAAATAATCCTCAACGTCGAAGCCATTTTACGGAAAGGTCGCGGCAAAAAATGAGCCTCTCAAAACTCTTTCGACGTCACTCTAAACATTAAATATCAAGCTTCCTCAGTAAATACGAAAATCGAGCTTGATTTTTGTGAAGAAAGTTTGACCATGATTCATAGGTTTGTTAAAGAGTACAAGGAGTCAATAACCCTGGTCTACTTTTGCGGTAATCTTCTTCTTACCATCGTCGTCTTTGTAGTTGGAACCATTTACATCTGGCACAGAGATCGAAGGGACCAGGAGAGGCGCTTACAGGAGGGTCAGGAATATCAAAACAGACGTGATCAAGAAGACCGAAGGGACCAGGAGAGGCGCTTACAGGAGGGTCGGGAATACCAAAACAGACGTGACCAAGAAGACCGAAGAGACCATCGGAGGCGAGAATGGCGCCAATTCGCGGAAAGAATTTACACCGATTACAGCAAACTGAAAAGTAAAGACATCCCTCAGAAAATTGCAAAGGTAAAGAACACTTTTGAACGTATACTAATCCACTCTACAGTAACTGGCCTTGATGTTTTGCGATACATGCTCACCGATGATAACTACCGCAATTTTGCGAGCGAGTCACCTCAGTTGAAGGCCTTACGTGAAGACCTCCACATGATTTTCTTGCCGCTAAATATCTGCTCTTCGTTGTTTCTCTTGGGAGAAGTGCCAATAAATATAAAGGAAGAATTAAGACTTGTGGTGGAAGAGTTGGGGAATTTAGCAGAGCCTTTCCTTACAGGTGAACAACAAAGGGTCGCTTTGAAATGTCTGAAATATTTTGGCAGTAACAGATCATCAAATGCAGTGACTGAACATGCTCAAAGAAGCGTGAAAGAGCTTGATGAGCGAACTGAAGCTATTGCTCCGTACGTAAACAGCTTACAGTTTGGTGGTCCCAATAGTAAGGAGTTCCGAAACGATTTCCCACAGATGGGCATAGACATGAAAGATTATAGCGAGTGCAGAAAATTTTGGCTTAATAAAACAATGATCATGCACGTCAAAACAGGCACGAGAATCTCAAGTTTCTCATACAACTACACGAGGATCTAGAATGTAAAGAACTTGAGGCTCACTGTGCCAGAATCTTTAGAGAAAAACTGGAAGAACTGCCAGCTGAATCGTTCGAGCAGATCAGCGACAGTGATAGCGATGAAACGATTTTAATGAAATTTCTACATGAATTGCGTCTATATATCCATATTATTCTGAGCGAAAACCAGTTCACGATGGTTAAAAGACTAGTTGAGGGTAACGTGGATAGACTGCGTAAGCTTCGTGAAAGATTGCAACCGATAAAGGTCCAAATTAAAGAGTTATGTCAGAGATTCAGTGACGATCTTGTGCGCATTAAGAGGGCTATAGAGGGGAACCCACCACGTCATCTAACTGGCGAGAAGTTTTTCAAACAGCTTAGTGACCTATATGATGAAAAGTTTCTAAGAATAATCACTGGTGAGGAGGTATAGCACTAACACAACTGAGACCTCTTTATAAAGTTCATGCTTTATCCTTGTTGTTTTTGTATGATAGTGACATTTTAGTACCAAGATGAGTTCAGGCCTTGCTTAATTAGTAAGCCCAAGCAGTTAAGTTATGACTATATCTGAGTTTGAGTTAGCATCAGTTCCATTTAATTAGTGTAATTATGTATGAGAAAGACTTCAGCAAGTATGCAAAGGTTTAATTGCAGCTTACAGCATCATTGTAATTTGCAACTGAAATATTGATTATGAATCTTGCTACATTACTTGAGACACTCCTTTGGCCAAGGACTTGATAAAATACAGAGCTTGACTTTTAGAGTCAGTGTTTTCTTAATTTGGTGATTGTAAAATTCCCAATACCCCTTTTGCTTTTGCTTCCTTAATTTAAATTGCAATGTATTGCTTGCATTAGGGTTGTATTAGCAGTAAATAAAAACTTTGTTTTTGTTAATTGTTTCCATTTCTATCACCAGGGGAGGAGACAGGCACTCATCAATATATGGTCGCCCCAACGGTTTGGATACTGGGTTGTTTTGTTCGGAATCGGATATGAATTTTGACCATTATCATCTTCAATAGGGTATGGTTTTCACTGGAATCTTGAGAGGGTATATAGGTATTTGTCATTTTGTTTCCCCCCTTCCCATCCTGCCCTCTCCCCTATTAATAATAGAGATAAAGAAATAACTAAACTCACTCAAGCCTGCTGCTTGGGAGAATTTTACCAATTCTTGACTTTGGCACTGCTGTCAGATCTGACAGATGTAGATCATTCCTTCTGTCACAGCCAGCTGTTGAGGCTTTTGAAGTACCACTGGCAGCCACACGCAATCAGAATGGAAGACCTGTTGCTTAATTCTTCTCACGAACCCTGCGTCCATAGGGACAGAGGTGCACTCAATAATTGACGCACTAAAGTACTGGAGACACTTCCCTGGAGGACACTTCATCCTTAAAACTGATCAGAAATCTGTATCCTACATGTGCGACAAATGTCACAAAGGAAAAATAAAGGACAACAAATTCCTGTGTTGGAGACCAGAACTCTCTTAGTGCAGTTTTGACATCATCTATCGCCTTCGAAGAAATAACATCGTACCAGATGCCCTGTCTAGAGCCAAGTGCGCTGCTACTTCTGATGACTCACTTTATGAGCTTTATTAGTACCCTCTGCCATCTCCAGAGATGGAGTACACCAGAGTAAACATTTTGTGTGGACCAAGAACTTTAACCTTACATGTACATCCTAGAAGAGAGGATTACAAGCAAGTACCCTGTTTGATGTGAATGCAAACCTCAGTTTCCTTGGCCTCAGAAGGGTCCCCTTTTGTGTTTATACATGACTTATTTTGGACTCAGTGTACATGTACTCACTGCCAGGTTTCTTGTGCATATATAATGCGTAGTACGAGATTGGGATACTCAAACCTATAGTAAAATAGGTGATTGAATGTTGTCTTAATTCTACAACACAAGGTCACACAAGCTGAAAGGGATGAATTTTTGCTAGAGAGCGTATTTCCATTAATATAGTGTTCCACTTATATATTGTTTATGGCGATTATGCTTCAATTAATAACGCTTAACCTATTTATTCATGTGGGACACTCTCAAAGGTTTACCGTATCCTTGAAAATGGTACAGCAAATGTCATCAGAAGTTTCAGAACCCCACTGAGACAGAAACTTCAAGAAAATGAAAAATACTCAACCTAGCCGGTAGGGCAGACATAATGTTTGGCAAATGAGTGCTCAGTGACCCTCAGTACTTCCTTGGTGAAAATCATAGCTGCTTTTCCCATAGGAACAAACACCACAAATTAAAAAAAGAACAAAGCAATTGAACT